TTACAGAACGCAGCGAAAAACAGATACAAGTCAATCGCTTTTCCTGCCATCGGCACCGGAAACCTCGGCTTTGATAAAAAAGAAGTTGCTGCGATCATGGCAAATGCAGTGTTCGACTTCGCCCACAACTGCCAAACGGAGATTGATGTTATGTTCATCATATATCCGACTGACGATCAGACATATAAGGTTGTATATTGCAAAGATACTTTCACGATAGTAGAATAATTATGCTGTATCGGCCCTGTGGGTACACACTGGCTAAAATGTAGGTTCTTGAAAATAAAGAAAAGACAACAGTTATTAATACAAACCAAACTTTTAAAGAACAAAAAAGGACAGAGCAATAAGAAAAGTTAGAATCAGTAAAGCAGTTTCGATGTTGTATAAAGCTGCTGTTTCCTTATTGAAGCACAATGTAATATCTCTCTGTTAGGTGGAATGTGGTTTTGCATTCACTGTGATGCGAGACACTCCTGCTAAGAATTGTTGACTGGGTTTGTCTGGTCACGCAAGTTTGGTTGCCAAGACTCTTATCCAGTCTGGAGAGAAAGACAGAAGTTAAGGAAAGAAAGTTAAGCATGCTCTGGACCTTGAAGAAAGGCCCATCAAAAGAAATATGTTAGTTATTGTATCCAAACCAACCAAAGTCACACAAAAACACAGAAACTAATCACGGCAGTGGTAGACCAGCAACTTCCATTTTTCTCCTTGTAAAGTGACTGTTTTTGTCAATGGAGTCTGGTGGCTTTGAAGCATGGATAGCAACTTTCAGTCAACGTAAAGCATTGAACATATTCTTAACAAAAGTAACACTTGATCTGATTAGGATTTTTTTGAGGTGGGCCTTCGTCCACAGCAGTACATGTATTAACTTCATTAGCTTTTGTAACTCCAGTACAAACATACATACAAAACACAATCTACTTAAGTTAAACACTGACTATGACAAGGTACCTCCATCATAATATTATAGAATGCATACTATTATTTGTATTAATGAACTTATCTTTTTAGGCTTTTGAGGAACAAATGGTAACTCTCCAGCAAAGAGCACCTCGTCCACAGGGTAATACAACAATTCAGTCATCATTTCATGTAGTGACGTCCATATGATACTGTATGTGTTAAATGCAGATGTTGAAGTCGAGAGAAACCTATAAAGTGCAGCTAATGTAAACAATAGTGGGAATGCATGTTTGCCCATCCTGTAGTGCGATAATAAAAACGATTGTGATTCTAATTTGCAGAAACCGGTGCAATGATGTCTTCTCCACCGGAATATGAGCACAGAAATGACTCCCACAGCAGCAGAGCACCCACCCCACAGATCACTCTGGGTGGCCCCTCTGAAGAGACAATACGCGAGGCTGAACGATGGCTCAGCGGCCTTTTCTACAAGTCCTATAGCCATGTCAATATCAGCAACAACTTCATCCAGCACTTCGGCGAGCGAGAACATCTGCAGCTATCCCGTCTAATGAAAAAAGGTGTTGTTATTGAGGAGATCTTTAAGGGAGGTCATGCTCGCATAAGCGTAACGGGGAATTCAAGTGAGGATGCCGTAGTGGCCGGGTTTCAGGTGGAGGCCATGCTCTGCAACGTCCAGAAGGAGTTTGTCAAGGATGAAGAGGATGTCATGTGCGAGGCTTTGGGCGAAAAGAGAGTGGACTTTGAAAGAAAGAAAGTTGATTACTCGAGCAACGAATTCTCAGACAGATTCTCTGCCTTCAAAAAGGAAGGGCTGCGGACTGTGAAGGTAAAGTCATAAATAAATATAACGATAATAAATATCTCTTCAGCTTGTGTTAACCACAGTCTTTATTTCAGGCATCTAAACCAAATCTACTTTATAAACTGTTCATTTGGAAGTGCTCTCTTCCGCTTTAGGACTCATTCCTGCACAACTACATTATGTTGATGTCACTATTAGATTTGAATGTCTTTACAGAAATAAATCATGCACCAGTCAGTTTTAAAGCTGTCATATTCTCTTATTTTAAATCACACATCAAGCAGTGAAATGTTTTATTTGTTCAGGTGGACAAAGTGGTAAACCCTTCATTGAAGAGAATTTTGGACCTGAAGGCAACACAGCTACGCTGCTCAACTAAAAAAATGTTCCAACTCATCCCTGCACAATTCTGTGAGATGGTTTGCAAAATTGGATTCCATGCAGAGTACGCACCACCTGGCGGTAGGATATTTTATTATACAAAATTCTTTATGTTTGGTTAATGACGTACCAGGGTCTAGAATGGTACATACAGAAATGATACAGAACACTTAATCTAGAAAGGAAGTAGGGCTGCTCGATTATGGCAAAAATCATAATCTCGATTATTTGGGTCAATCATTGATATCACGATTATTAAAAAACGATTATCCATTTACTTTGAAAACATCCATTTATTGAAAATAAAAATAACTAAAACTAAAAAAATGTGAACAGTATGTTTTTAACAGTTGATTACCCTGAACTTTAAGTATAATACAACTGAAAACACAAAACAAACAAAAAAACAATAATAATAAAATAATAATAATCTGCCAGGCCTGTCTCTCTGTCCACTCCCAAACAAAGCAGAGTTGAATCTCTAATTTAAGTGAGAATAAAAGGTGGGTAATCAGGATTAAAGGACATGTTTTTGTCATTCTGCAACACAGGGTTGCAAAGAGGTATTTAAACAAACAGACATTTATTTATTTAGGCTTAAAATTAGATCAAACTTTTTGAAATCAATGTGTGAATTTGAGGGGCTGTTTTACCACATACATTTGATTTATTGCTGACTTTAAGTCGCAATGACACACCGCAACCACAAGAGGTCCTTGAGCTAACAGTCATGAGTATGCACAAAAAAATGAAAGTCTTATCGGTCCAGTAGTACATGAGATCAGACTCGCCCAAAAACATGATCTCCCAAAAGACTCTAAAGATAAGATACATTTATAAATGATACAATTAATGATGTTTTATCTTCCTCTGCATACAGAGGCAGCATACGGAGAGGGAATCTACTTTGCGGGCACGGTGAAGAAGGCCATGGAGGTGTGGAAGGAGCAGAAGGAGCATCAAAAGGAGGAGTATCTGTACTTCGTGGAAGCCGAGGTGCTGACAGGAAACTCGATCCCTGGGACACCTGGCCTCATCCTGCCTCCTCCTGTGTGGGAAGATCTTCTTCTTCTGCACGACAGCGTGAGCGGAGGACCTGATGTCTCCGTCATCTTTAGTGGTTATCAAGCTCTGCCCACGTACATCATCACCTGTAGGAGGGACTGAAGGGGTTTCTGTAGTCTATCTGCCAGCTCAAAGAGTCCTGTTGTGAAACCGGAAATGTTTAGTTCCCCAAAGTCAGAAATGTAAAGTACGGGTCCTCTGCACATAGAAACTGCCGGATGCTAACTTCAATATGTTGGGCAATTTGCACAAATAGCATATGCAGACAATAGCTGAAAATGGCTTGGCCGATTTAGACAATTTTGGTGTGGTTTAGAGGTTATTGAGAATGTTGAAACTATTTTCAACATTTCTAAGATTTAAAATGGCTGTTTTGAATCCCCTAAAACTTTAAAATATACCCAAAATGTATCGAATATGGCCGCTTCCTAGTTAAAACTGCCATTATTTTTATCCTGAAAATGTCAAAAATCAATTCAACATCCTCAATAACCCCCTAAACAACTCCAAATCGTCCGAGCCAATTTTTTTGCTATTGGTTGCATATGCGTATTAATGCAAAGCACCCATACTATACATTTCTACCAATTAAACTTTGAGGTACTCAACATTTCCGGGTTCACAATGCTGGCAAGTACACTACCATTGTATCAAATGGAACAAATAATAAAATGCTTCCAGTCCTAGAGGAAACTAGACATTTGGATGTTCCTTTTTCTAAAGCAAGCCTAAGTGCATTCTTGATGAATGAATTTCCTGTTAGAAGGCAATGGCTGTTTGCATTACTTATCAGCTAAATCCTTAGTATCAAGTTTATTTTTTCATTATGTTTGTCTGTCACTGGGTGATTAAGATATATTTAGCAGCACTATCACTTGTATATCAGAGATTGTCTTTTTAAAATTGCACTTATAGCGAAAGTATATTTCTTTTTGATCAGTCATTTGTTTAGTGGCGCCACATGAAGCTATATATGCAAACACATGTACCAGTGATTGACATACACATTTATTTTGGAAGGAAAGAGAATAATAATGTAACACTGAATATAACAGGTGAAAAGCTTTGGCTACAAATTCATGATTGTAAATGTTAATTAAACAATAACATGGGAATTGTTGCTGGTGTGTTGGAGCACATGGGGTAGCTGGTGAAGAGTTCCTGGTTGTGATTCAAATATTAAACAATGTTTTTAAAAAAGTTGTGTCTTCTTTGCTTTTTGGACATTTTATACCTCTTTAGAATGACTTTTCCTACTTGTCATTTATAAATGAATTAAACTTAACAAAAATACCTGATCCAGCTAAATTGATTTATTGAAATGAAATACAAACATGTACATGTGTTGAGATACAGTTGAAATACAGGACATGTGAAAGCCATAATGGAAAGTCCTTCATATTCTTAATAACACAATAGATCATCTGTTCGAAAACATCCTACTTTGGAAATAATTCGACTCATAAATGTAACTCAGTTAGTATCTGGGACATTTCAGAGTTGGGGGACATTGTCTTTCCCACCTATGAACTTTCAAATAATAATAAAACAAAAGGTTTGTTTTTTGAAAAGTGTTGATGTCTTAATTGTCCTCTAATTCTGGAATGACCCAGCTCTGCATCATCAATAATCAGTTGTCACAGGGACCTTGGCATACCTTAATAAGCTAAGTCTTTTAATCGATTGGTCAAATGGGTTCATGTTTGAGAATAATAGCTATATTTTACCAGTGCAAGTAAAACATATAACCTCAACCTAGTGACTAGGATTGTATAAAAAACATTATTTATATGTAACCATCTGGCTTTAACGTACATAACGAGACTCATCATTTGACAGCACAACAGGATTTCACACTTCTCTCGAGGATGACACGGAGTCTCCTTACGAGTGATTTACTTGAACTGTTTCTTCTGACTGATGATTGTCTATGAAGCCGTTACATTGTAGACAAAGCACCCTAGGGTCTTTTAACACACCTACACCAGTCTGCTAAAAGCTATATTCCTGTAACATCCACCAGTTTTACAAAGACCATTTAACATAGATCTGAACACAGATCACTCCTGAGCAGTGCACACTGGAATGATGCTACGATAAAGGAATCATCTTAAACCCTGTTATTAAATCCTCCAAATGCGCAAGATTGAAAAAATACAATATAGCGAGCATGATGAGGGAGAATAGGTTGGTTGTTTACAAAATGACTCCAGCGTTTCACACAGAAAGACAACAGAGACAACAGAGCTAGGCTGAGTTACATACATATGGCACATCTGGCCTCTAATGCTCATCATATTGCTGAAATTGAACTATTAATATCAATATAAAGTACAGCTCAAAATAGATTTTCAGTGTGAAGTAACATCTTTAAGACAGTATTGTTTTTGTTGTTTGGTTGCACCCTTATTTCTAAAACAGCAGGTTCTATCTTTGCCTATTACTCTTTTAAAGAGAAAGTTCAAATTGTTTTAATTGGAGTTTCATAAGGTAACTATCCATAGTCAGTGTATTACCTACAGAGAGATTGGCATGCTCTTAGTTTGGGAAACAGACAGGAATAATGGAAAAGGAGTATCTACTGCTGCAGCAATAGATCTTTTAGACACCTAAAATAAAGGACAACCTAAATAGGTAAAGATCAATATAAGTAAACACTGTATTTAGAATGTTTTCACCACTTTACATTGCCTCCGAAGAAGAACTGAAGGAGTATCTATGCTCTCTTCAAAGCTACCAGACTCCACAATCAGAACACATGTATTCGTCCCACAGAGGGAAATAAACAATATCACAACAATTTAAAAATGTTTGTTCATTGACAAAAACAGTAAATGTAACCTCCCAGAACAAAGGAGTTGCTGGTCAATCGCTAGTAGGATCGCTTATTGTGAGACTTTGGCTAGTTTTGAAAGTGACTGACTATGGATTCCTTATAAAACTCCACTTTAACACATCCAAACTATCCCTTTACTTACAGAACAACCCTTACAGTACCAATATATGGCTAAATTACGCTCCAAAGGACGGCCATCAAGCCATAGGAGTGTGTATTATTGTCACTTCAAGGACTCCTCCTCTTCACCCTCTCTCTGTTTCACAGATTCAAAGAGTCTCTGCTTTCATACAAGTGTTCACACACACATTCACACAGTCACTCGGTGCACTCGGCTATCTCCGTGCCGTCCACCAGCAGCGTGTGGATGATGCCGTCCCGCCTCTTCCCGCTGCTCACAGCCTTCACGCAGCAGTTGTGGTCTCCCAGCGTGAAATGTGTTTCTGTGCCGTCCTCCACAAACTCCCCCTGCATGTGCGAAATCAGAAAAGAAAGCAGACAAAGAGAGAAATCGTTTAGTTCTGTATGTTCATATCTTGAGGGTGTTAAAGGTGTTTAACCCATAGAAGATTTTGTGTGTAAGGTGCTGTTTATACAACTGTTGATTTCAATTTTCCTTGCCACCACATTTTAAATTACTTCTGCGGTGAATGCTTTAATGCATATCAAGTCAGTATGTACTTACTGCAGTCTCAATGTTTTGTCCATTACACCAAACATCCATGGTGTCTTTCTCTGAAAAAAAAAACAGAGAGAGAATCAATTATTCATGTCAATCGTATGTAAAAGTGTATCAGACTCAATTAGAATCAGGATCATTTATTTAACCCACGGTGAAATAAAAAAATATAATCAAATAAAGATATTTGTATAAACATAAGAAGTTCAAGTCAAAATACTCGACACAAAAGGAAAATATTAAAATAAAATAGATTACAAATTATGTATAAAAAAATAAGAACTTCCAGTAAAAAAGTGTAATAAAAAGATACATTTAAAATAAAATAGATCAAAAACATTTATATAAAGTATAAACATAAGAAGTTTAGTTTGTTTCTAAGGCTTCCAGTGTTTTACAGAGTATCTCACATTGATTACGTTACATGATGATATGACATGTATTAATAGATAAATGGATAAAAACCGGATAATATAATATTCTGTAAATATAAAATAATATGAAAGGAGCCATTCTTCATACTGGGAACTTTCACTTTAATCCTTTAAGAACATTTCACTGTTCACATTTCATTTCACTTCATATTATTCTGAAACTTGAGTATTTTAAGAACATGGTATTTATATTTTTACTTAGGTTAAGGATCAGAGTACTTTATCCACCTCAGCTGCTGTTACATGCACATATTTCTAGTTATTTACATTGGTAAGGGTTGAAATGTATACATATTTACTGCACACTAATGTACAGTTTAAATGTGTCGTGCATGCTACAGATGGCTACTGCCTGATCAGCTAAACAGTACAGTCAGAAGAAGGATTAACATGTCCAGATGACAGAGGTGTCTGAAGATGGCGCTGGGCTTAAAGCTGCTAAAGAGCTTATCCTCAGCAGCAACATTATATTAGTGGGTAGTTCTGAATGCGTGGAAATCAATGCTACACATACATTCAAAGCTTATCCTGATTGATTGTGTGAACAACGTATACATCGCAGACACTAATGAATTTATCATTAAATGAGGACAGTGTGTGAATAATATAGAAACTCACCCAGCACCACCCTGCTGTCAGTACCGTCCAAGTTAAGAACCCAGGTGCTGGTGACCTTTGACCTGTTCTCCATGTACTTCTTCAGGCTCTTCCCGTTGATCTCCAATGTGTACTCATAGGCAAACCCGCTGACTGCATCAATGTTTATGGTGGCTTTGGTGTCCGACTTGCCCACATTGAATGTCTCCTTCCCCACAAGTTTGAACATCCAGTCCCGTCTCAGTAACTCCTGAAGTGTGATGGAAAAAATCAGGAATGAACAGCTGTATTTATAAGTTGTCATGATAATAAAATAGTCCTCTCTTTCACGTGGTTAGCAAGTAGCATGATTAGGGATGTGTAATGGGAACGAGAATGATCCATACCTTTCCATCTACCAAGATGACCCTCTTCCCGGTGGTCGTGCCGTGTTCAAACTCTATCCTGTGGACTCCATCACTCAGTGCCACCTCCCACACACCGGCAAGATCATTCGACATTTTTCCTTCTTCTTCTGTGGACAAACAACAAAACTAGACTTCTAAATGTCGAGGCAAATGCATGACTGTTTTACGCTGTTTACCTAACTAGCTAACGTTACTTAGCTAACAACAAAGACGCATACTAAGAATTTTTAGTACACGTTTTAGTGTATCAGCACCTGTAGACTATGCGTTTTAAGTTTAGTAGTTGGAGTGAATATTATTAAAACATAAACACGAGTTTACTCGTCGTAAAACATGGCTGAAGATAACGTGGAAAGTTAGCGCTGTTTGTTACAGTGCTACTTCCGGTGGCGAGGGTTAACTTTCAAAATTAAAGGCAGTGTTTCAAATAACTAAATTATGTTTTATGGTAAAAATGTGTTAAGTTACTCTCGCTTGTTTCCTTAAAAAAAGCATGCATCCAATTTAGAGGCGCAATAGAATCTCCATAAATATTTTCTTATATTACATTTTTGACATTGTTTGAAGTAGTGAGGAAATGTCACACAAGTAGCCAAATGTTTGTAGGTCCTTTTTTTTTTAGCATTCCCATGTTTTGCCCATGTATAATTGTCTGTTACATTGAGGAGGCTAACTACTGTTGAGTTAGATTACATCCAAACATAAATCAACTAATACATTGTGTTAAATCCACTAATTTAATGTACACCTGAATGTATCAATAATTACATTTCAGTTATTTAATATATATGTATATGTATATATGAATCTGAAATTGACACTTTTGCTGTTTGCAACAAAAGCTGGACACAATAAATTATGATTTTATTTTGAAAAGTAAACGGAAGCATAACTGCGTCAGCCACGCATTAGCTTATCTTTTCAGTAGCTCTCAACGACCGCTAATGCTACATTATTTGCTATGAGAGTATAACCTTACACTTTAAATACATATTATCATCCTTCTTGGAACATATGGCTTACCTGAATGCTCCCAAAGTAAGCGGTCTGGCTCAGTAGGTAAAAAATGATCCGCAGGCCACTTTAGCGCAGCTTACTCACAGCTAACGCTAGTTGGTTAGCTACAGCACAGTCAACAGATGAGATGTGACTATGCTGTTGCTATGGTAACATGATGAACAGTGTTGACCACGCCCACTCGGGAAATGGCAGTTTCCACATCCATGGAAATAATAAGAGATCCATACATTCAAGGAGTTTAAACTAAGTATTATAGTGTGTTGATTGTTGGAGCCCCTCTTATTGTTCTAATGGTAAAACATGTCTTTTTAACCTCTCCCTCAGCACAAACACAATTCCAAAATTGTGGAAGTCAGCGTATGTCCTGCCTCTACTAAAAGGTGGGGAAGCCACTTTATTAAATAATTATAGGCCCATCTCTAAATGATCAGTTCTGGCTAAGGTTCTTGAACGCCTAGTGAGTGAACAGGTAAAGGTGTTTTTATGTACAAATGACATCCTGTCTAAACATCAGTCAGGCTTCAGAAAGCAACATAGCACCATCACTGCCACAATGAAAGTGGTGAATGATGTGGCGAGTATTTTAGATAATAAGCAGAGTTGTGCAGCTCTATTTATTGACCTTTCCAAAGCGTTTGATACCGTCGATCATCGCATCTTAAAGCAGAGGCTACTCAGTATTGGCTTATCCAGCCATGCAGTGGGGTGGTTTGTGAACTACCTCTCTGAAAGGTCCCAATGTGTTCATTTTGATGGGCTGTCTTCTGAGTGGTTAAACATTACTAATAGTGTTCCTCAAGGTTCTGTTTTAGGTCCACTTTTATTCTCCATCTACATCAATAGTTTAGGTGAAAATGTCGATGGAGCAACCTTACATTTTTATGCGGACGATACCGTTATGTACTGTGCAGGTCCCTCCATTAAGGAGGCTGTTGTTGAATTGCAAGCTGTTTTTAACATTATTCAGACTCAGCTCTCTGAACTAAAGCTTCTTTTAAATGTTGATAAAACCAAGGTAATGCTCTTTTCAAAAGCTAAAAAGACACCAGAGCCTGTTTTAGATATTGTAACTACGCAAGGAATAAAACTTGAAGTGGTTACCTGTTACAAATACCTTGGTATCTGGCTTGATGAATGTCTCACTTTTAAACGTCATGTCAATAACCTGCTTAAAAAACTGAGGGTTAGGCTAGGTTTCTTCTACAGGAACAAGTCCTGTTTCTCGCTCGAGGCCAGGAAAAGGCTAGTCACTGTGACCTTTTTACCTGTGCTGGACTATGGTGATTTGATTTATATGAATGCACCTGCCAATTGCCTGGTCAAGTTAGATGCTGCGTATCACAGTGCACTGAGATTTGTGACAAACTGTAAAGCATTAACCCATCACTATACCCTGTATGCAAGGGCTGGTCTGCCTTCACTAACTGTACGGAGGCTCAGTCACTGGTACATTTTTATATACAAAGCCATGTTAGGGAAACTTCCATCCTACATCTGCTCCCTGATCTCACGGCGAATTGTAAGTGGCTATTGTCTGAGATCGCATGCTGTGGTTTTATTAAATGTGCCAACTGCTAGGACTGTCTTAGGGAAGATAGCATTTAGATGCGCAGCTCCACTGTCTTGGAATAGTCTGCAATTGAAATGGAAACTGAGCAATCTGGTGCCACTAAATGTTTTTAAAGCTCGGTTGGATGCTACTCAATCGGAGGCTGTTGGTACCTGTTCATGTGGATAGTTATGTAAATTGTAATCCCTGTAATGATGCTGTATGATGTCCTTTTTGTTGTTCTGTTTATGTTTTTATGTTTCATGTGGAACCTACTTGAGCAGGTCTCCCTTGAAAAAGAGATCAATGATCTCAATGGGATACACCTGGATAAATAAAGGTTTGAAATGAAATGAAATTTGAGAACTGGTGAAAAGTATGCAATTACTCTTATCTGTAAAAAATAAAGTCATTAAACGTGAACAAGGGTGTCAACAATGAGGGTTAAAGGAGGTAGTTTAGGTTGCAATATTTTCAGAATAATAAAATAACATCGGGTGAATCACTCGTTTATAACAGTTTATTATTATTCTTCTCCACACATTTTAAGGATGAAATAATATACCTTCTATCTATTACATTAAATTAAGCTAACAGCTTTAGAGCCAAACTAAACGACATTATGAACAATTAAAAAACATTAAATAGCTGAAATGAAAATGAATCATCAAATAAGAAAGGTTTTGCTAAATACTCTTCTTCCTCTATTTATTTCTTCTTTTTTGATCAGATAACGCATTCCTGTCTGTCATCTTCTTTTCTCACTTTTCTTTGCACAGTGAAAGGACTTTCATTACCGCAGTTATTTCACATAACGAAACAGAAATTCATCATATTATGCATACATCATCTCCAGGACACATAGCATACTGACTATACAGTATGTGCAATTAAACAGAATGAGTATGTTTATTTGGCCTCTTTTTGAACATTTTGATTATGAGGTTCTGGTAATAATGGTTTCCTTTTATTTTTAGTGGCTTGTGATGCAGGTTATGACAACGTAAAAGGATTGAAATGTGCTGATACGCTGGACACAAGACCACAAACAGGTCTGTATGAAAGGTAACAACGTCCCTAATGACATCTGCAAAGTTTCAGACTCTTTTCCCCTCTTGTACTTTATACCTGCACGCACACTATATTACCATAAACATTGGTGAAATCAATAATATCTAATGTATGAGAAAAATACTTTTTGTTTTTGCTACTGCAAAGGAAAAAAAACGTTGTTCGAAAGTTCAAAACAAGAAGATGGCTCTCAGTCAAGACCATAACGTCACAGAATCATGAACAAAGAAAGGAGATTATTAAAATACTTTCTTTTTATGAAAAACAACACGATCTTTTTAAAGAATAGAATACAATAACAACAACATCTATATAATGGCACCGGTTTTCAAAATCGAAAAAGTATGGCATTCTATCAAACTAGTCAATGGCTGTGCAGCTTTTCATTAACTACCTTGAATGCATACCCCATTCTCTCAATTGCTAACAGATTTTGTATGCGGTTGAATGCTTTTTTCCCCTTTATAGAGTGCTTGTTGGTCTAATTTCACTTCAAAGAGGCTTCAAAAGACATTAAAAGCAAGAATATATTTTTGAATTCCCTCTTAAGCTATGGGATACAAATTGTGGTTGCGGCAGGATCCTAAAGCAGACATCCAGCTGAAGCTATGTGAACCATAATTATCCTTAGTATCATTTGTTAGGCCAATTAAACATACTATAGTTTGGAGAATAAGATCATTTCCTTTTTTATTTAAGAAAATACTATTCTAATGCAGATGTACTTACATAAGCTTACAGCCAGAAGCCACTTAGCATAAAGATAAGAAAAAGGTAGCTACCCTTGCACTGTCTGTAAAAAAAGATCCTCCCCATACTCAAAATCAGCACCTAAAGTCAAGCGGTTTTACTGCTCCTGGCCAACAAATATTTTGCTAAATACAAAGCTGCATTACCTTAAACCTGCAATCTTTCTAATGGCCAGCAGGGGAGACTCCACTGGTTGCAAGAAGAGGTCTGATTGTATAGAAGTCTATGAGAAAAGGACCCTACTTCTCACTTATTTATTACCTCACCAAACATTTTTGTGACAAGTTTACTGGCTAGATCTTTACATATAAGTCATCCTTAATAATGCATGGCGTAAAAAACTTAAATGTTGGTCCCATTTAAAGTGAATTAAACAAAAAAGCAGCTTATGCTTTTGGGAATGGCTAGCTTGTGATTGACAGGTACGCTGCCACACGTTCTAGGGTTCGGATAATGTCCCTGTTTTTATAATATAACTTTTGAGCCTTTTCTCCGTCTGTTTTTAGTTTGCAAAAGTTAATTGTGTCCTTAAAATGTCGATGCTACATACCATGTTTAACAGCCAGCAGGCGTTGGATTTTATACTTTTAGACAGAGCTAGGTTACCTGTTTAAACCTATTATTTTTAGATGGAGGTGTTTCTAGATCTGATGCTCCCTGCACTGCTCTCAGTGCCCCTCCTGTAAGCCCTCTGGAGCCTCTTGCTGATAATGCCGTGTTTGTGAAGAGCTGAGAGAAACTGGTTACGGAACTTCTCCCCAACGAACGCATACAGCACCGGATTCACTGCACAGTGCAGAAATGCCATCACTTGGGTCACATGTAACATCACTTCCACTATGTAGCGAGTTTCACACAACTCTAGTGGAATTGTCCCGCCTTGTATGAGCGTGTCAATCAGGACAGTGATGTTATAAGGCAACCAGCAGACAACAAATGCCAACACTACTGCCAGGATGATGTGAATGGCCTTGTGCTTTTGCTGATTACGTGTGTGAAACAGTTTCACCACAATCCAGCCGTAGCAGACAGCCATCACCACCAGTGGCAGGAAGAAGCCCAGTGTATGGCGCATTACTCGCATGCTAACACGCCAGTAGTCGCTGCTTTCACCAGTTAGGTTTTCGTAGCAAATACTACGGTTCAGTTCATCAGCATGCATGCTCTCCTTTTGAATTACAACAGGTAAGGACAGCATACCAGCCACCAGCCACACCAAACTGCACACCACTTTCACCAACCAGTGTTTGGAGGGCTGGACACGTGTAGCTCTCACAATGGCAAAGTGACGGTCCATACTGATGCAGGCCAGCAGGAAGACACCACTGTAGACCGAAGCCTCTTGAAAGCCTGACAGGAGTTTGCACAGGAAGTTGCCGAAGATCCAGCCAAAATGAGCGTTGACGGCCCAGAATGGTAGGGTCAGACTGAAGAGAAGGTCAGCCATCGCCAGGTGCATCAGGTAGATATCTGTGCTGGTTCTCCCTTTGTTCATGTAACAAACCACATAGACCACCACACTGTTGCCTACAACACTGAGGAAAAACACGACGAGGAAAGTGATCATTATGCCCAAGTTGTTAAATCCATGAACAATTACACTGCAAGGAGCAGATGCTTCATTCTCATACAGTGGAGATGTAAAATTGTAGATGGAATTAAAGTATTCGTCATCGAACGGAAATCCCTCTGTGGTCAGCAGCTGAAATTAAAGTAAATTGAAGAGTTTTTAGCAAGTAAAAGGACAACAGGATAATACTGTTAAAGCTACACTAGGCACTCTGTTATGACTCTTATAAGCCTTAATCACAGATGGCGCGTTTCCACTACAGCCCGCAGCCCGGTTTAAGAGGGCTGTGACGTCAGCGGCCCGTCTTTGGTTGCGTTTCCACTTGGCCTAGTACCGGCCGGCGGGTCCTAATTCACAGTTTTTCTGGCCTCATAAAATCGTGGGTCCAGGGCCAGAGACAACGAGGCTGAGTCGGGCTGAGTATGCTAAACTAGAGAGAGCGTCGCTGGCAAGGGGGCAACAACTACAACAAGATGGACATATTTGACCGTGATTTAATTGTAATACACGTTTCAAAATGATGCCGAAGTAACAACATACTGATACCGGTTAGTAAAAACCATGAATTAATGCTTTGACAAGTCTGCAGACAGACGGCAGGGGAAAAACCTTTTAAAATGCTTGTTTTCTAAATGGAGATTGGCTAAGCTAACGCAGTATATGCTCCGACCGTCCACACTCACAACAACGGCCTATACAGACATAAATAAAGCAGCGACTGTATTCACCATGACACAGGCAGTCTGTGGTTTGTACTTGTTTAACGTTTGTCTAGTTTCTGAACATATATGAGGAGCTGTGAGCTCTGAGTGCTAACAGCTAACGGCTGTGTTGTTTTTCTGGGGTCCTCTGAAGATCACGTCACGGCTCCGCCTACACTGCGTTACTATAGATACTGCCCCAGTTCCTAAACTGTAATGGAAATGCGCCATAAAGTGAGCCAGTCCTAACGAGGCCCAGCCATACCGAGCGGGGCGAGCGAGGCCGTGTAGTGGAAACGCGCCATAAGGTTCTTCCAAAACAGAGTTTTTCTACAAATTCTGAAGTGCATGCACTTCCCAGATGGCCAAAGCCTGATTTAACAGCAGGAAAAAGCTATTTCTGCATTAGCATCAGCTGGCTAAACTGTAAAGCAACCACAAAAGGACAAAGACTGACATATACACGTTTCAGAGATGGAGAGAAAAGTTGCTAGTAGCTTAGCCTTCTGCTAACTGTAACCGTTTTTTTGCTAGCTTGAGTCTTGAATAACAATATGGCAAATAAAGGGCTTTACATATGCAGGTATGCAAAGAAAGCAGAAAGGTAATTTTTTAAAACCTCGTAACCAACTTCAATTATTGTTTTCTACACAATAATTATTATTATCTACACAATAACTTCATTTTTTTCACGTTTAACACAAATTGAAATGGAAGATTTGAATACGAATAACCTTACTATAACTTAAAAAAACAAATATTCAGATAGTTCCATTGTTTACCTGTTTCTCTTCTTCTTGATCGGTTGAAACCAAATAATTAAAAATACTGATGATCAAAAGTTGTAGCTTCATTTTTCCTTTCGTGTTGCACAAAGGTTAAAAATAATACAGCTATTTTGCCAGAGGTGTTGTCTTTACTTGTAGATGTGGTTATAGTCCTTGTGTAACATCTGTACCGAGGAAGGTATTTGACACACACCACAGATATGATCTCTGTTAAGCAATACGTTTGATCTTACAGTGTTGATGTAACAGGAAGTTCATGAGTTGAACCTGCAAAACACAGGAAACAAGTGACGCACCTTGAAATAGTCACAAGGCAATTCAAAGTGCTTTACAAAAATGAAAGACATTAAGAGCATAAAACACATTAGAAACATTAAAAAGCAAAGATAATAAAACATGAATACATGAATAAAAGTTACAGTGCAGTGAAAGATGTGAATAGTTCAATTAAAAGTAGCGGCAAAAAGAAAGTCTTCAGCCTGGATTTAAAAGTAGTAAGAGTTGCAGCGGACCTGCAGGTTTCTGGGAGTTTGTTCCAGATATTTGACAATACCCCTAACCAAATTCTCCCTTTCCTCTACCGTCTTCCCGTGAAAATATAGTTCTTTTGACAGTTTTCTAACCTTTTTATATTCTTTCATCCTTCTCTTTCAATCATTTTGCATCCCCAGACAACACAATTCCTGTTTTACTGTTACCTGAACCCATCTTGAACCTTTAAATCCACTTTTCTTTTCAATTCCCAGAATTAGGATATTTAAACCTGTAGGGCAGTGTTATGGCACCAAATAGCAGATATGGGAAGTAAATAAATATACTCAAGTACTGTATTTGAGTACAATTTTATAGAGTATTTCCATTTTAGGCTACTTTGTACTTCTATTCCACTACAATTCAGCGGTAAATCGTTTACTTTGACTCCACTACATTTATGTAATACCTTTAGTTACTTTACAGATTTGGATTAATGATGTGAAATATAATCAAGTCTTAAATCAGACTTTAGTTACACCTGGAGTAAATTCACAAGCTACCCTGCAGTATATAAAGCTCTATACATGAACCGTCCAAAATATTTTCATTTCAATTGCACACACATGTCAAATGAAAGGAATTTACAGCAGAAAAACTATCAACCCTGCAATAAGATTATTTTAAGAAGCCTGTTCGTTTGAAAGAATCTTGAGTACGAAGAAAGGCTCTATCAGTATGAATGCCAAGGTATCCCATGCTAATATTTTTCTACTCTCGGATATTCTTCCCTTTCTTACATTCTTCCTTTTCCTTATTTACTGCTGTTTTGGAAATGTTGTCCAGTAGAGGGCAGCAGCAGTCTTGCCCTATGTGTTCACTACAACACTTCTCTGGGACATAAGAATAACAAAGAAACGTTTTTGAGACTTTTAAAAGAACATTACAAGGGGCGCTCTACAGATTTTTCACATGAGGTTCAATTATCTCTTCACAAGCAGTAGGCCTACTGCAGCCTGTAAAATACAGTTATTTAATGTCTTATATGTCTCTGGAGAAGCTGTAGTTAAAAATAGAAATGTGTACTGTTTACTTCTACTGTTTTGGAAGTTGGGTACCAGTATCTTAATAGTTGACAAGTAGTAGTCCAATCACAATTCTTTCAAACAAGTTGTTTTAATTCAATCTCATATATTAAACACGTTCTCACTCCACTGGAAATGTCTCAACATGAAATGCATTTGGTCGGTTAGCTATAGTAATTAGAAAAGTATTCAAAATGGATGACAGAGCTAATGTCCCTAGGGTTATCAAGGAACCTCCCACCACAGGATCTTTTGGCTGACATCACCAGCACAAGGCTACCTCATCCTGGTGACCCTAGACCACCCTTCTACCTGCTGTCAGTGCTAACTAATAAGAAAAGTTTCCTAATATAACCCTGCCATGTCCATTTATACTGTTGTCCTTCTCCATCTGTCGGGCCAAAGGCTGCTCTATCAGCACATGGTAGCTAGAAGGATAGGGCAGAGGTCAAAGTTCATTCACTTGTCCCCCAGCCATTCATGTGCCTCAACTAAACAATATCTGCATTATATGAAATCATGCCAAATAAAATAACCAAGCCGAAATAACCAAAAACGTACCCTTTAGTCAGGAAATTGGATTTGCCAAATACAAGTAACGATATTATAGACTGTTTACAAAGATGTAAAATGTTTTACATGTGTACTTAGAGCCAGGGGGCTAAGACAGAGCTAATATTAAAAACAGTGCAAGTACAATGATGAGGAAAGAGCAGAAACAACTGGAATGTGTATAATGTGGGTGGAACCATAAGCCAGATAAATTGTTTTTAATCTTGTTTTTTATTCATATACTACCTTCGCAAGACGCTATAGAGCTGCAGCACCCAAGAACATTTAAAAAAAGTCTTCTTGAGTATCCACTTGCCACTATGATGATAACTGATTTAATGACATATCTGTAAAAGTCAAACATTATTCTAGGGTTTCTTCTAAGATTCAAAGATAAATTAATATCTAATGTATCACTTGCCAATTTAATTTCAAAACCCTTTAAGATTTTTAATTTAGTTAAAACCAATCAGCTTGTTAGCATTTAAAACTTTGGACAAATAATCAAAAAATCTCAAAATGTTGAAAAACCCACTGTATGCTAACCAAAACCAAACAGCAGACACACACAGTAAGGCAAGGCAAGTTTATTTATATAGCACCTTTCAACACAAGGCAATTCAAAGTGCTTTACAAAAATGAAAGACATTAAGAGCATTACAAAATATATTATAAAATGGCATTTAAAAAAACTAATTTAAAAGCAAATATAAAATGGCATTTAAAAACACTCACTTAAAAGCAAAGATAATAAAACATTAATAACAAAGGTACATGAATAAAAGTTACAGTGCAGTGTGAGATACACACATCTGATAGAAAGACAGATGAGTGGTGACTAAAAGATTTTGAGTGTTAACACTCAATTAACATTTCTCAGGTAGTTAGAAACATGATTCCAAATGTTTGCTAATTGGAAATGTAAATGGCTAGCAGTTGCTAATGTATTAACCTAATCTACTTAAAAGTTGATGATATGTCAATGTTGTGTTCACAGCTCGCTTCTGCTGCCCCCAAGTGGCCAGAGAAAAACACATTTAATGCGAGTGATTCTTATATACCGATTTTTCAGGGCAGTAGTTTCCCTTGGCTCATCTTTTCCATTGATACATTTTTCTATGTTCACCAGGCATATTATTGCTGCTTCAGCTGGCATTTTAATTGTGAATGTCCTAAAATCAGTTCCTCCTAGAAAGGAGTTTAAGTTCTTCATTGGCCCACATTGCAGACAGCTGTGCCGGGTCAAAGCTGCTGTTTTAAATTGGTAAATATATTCATGTTTAAAGGTGAAAACTTAAGTAAATCAAAGGCAGAGTTTTTCAAACGGTTGCTTGCATAGAGATGAAGTGAACGGGGGGCAACTGATAATTTTGTGCACAAATGATTAGAAGTTTTGTGTTTGTTGTGAGTTAATACATTCACAAGGGCATTATATGCCGACAGTCTTAATACAAATATGAAACTGAATCATGTTAAAAAAACACTTTTTTCTTGTGACCCTGATGGTGCTGTAGTTTCAGAAGCTGAGCAGGGGCTTATTGTCTTACAAAAATGTCTGAGGTATGGGCGGTGCAAGCCTGAAAGCTCTGATGACATGGCAGAATTACAAAATCCTCAATACAGGGTCTTATTTCAGACTTTCCTGCTATTTTAACAGCTTAGTAGTTCCATTACAAAAGAAAATCCAGCACAGAGACCAGCCTATTTGCGTTCTAAGCTGTAAGTCTGACCACACAGACAAGCCTTCCTCCGCCCCTGTCCACTGTTTGCTTTTGTTTTTGTCTGCTCCATTGCTGGAGATTAGGCTGTGAACACACCACTGAGGGGTCGTATCCATTTCAATGGGTGTTGAGTTAGTTGTCAGTAAACATCTTTATTGTTGTGTCAGTGCTACTGACATTTTAATGCAGGTCAGCAGCTGGACTTTAGGAATTCAGTTTGTGATAAACTTCCTGTCCTTTTCCTTTAGTTCCTCATATTTCTTTGCTGACACTGAAGTGCAACTAAACGGTAATCTTTAAAAACTTGTTTTATAGATCATAAACTATTCTTGACATTTTGCTCCTTTTTAGCACATTTACAAGGACAAGAACCTTTTTTTAATTCCCTCTGGATCCTTGAAAATATCCGACTGACTCAGCACTCTCATGAATTCCCATGCTGTACAAAAAAGTCAGACACACATCCCTCTTTCCCTACTTTTTGTATTAGACAGAAACTCTCTTAAAGCTGCGAAGCCAGACCTAGGCAGCAACAACACAAAGGGTACACAATAAAACTTAAAAGTTTGCAAAGCATAATACAGCTTGTAAAAAATCAAGGGTAAATGTATGTGTAAATGGACAATAAAATGCACCACTATCTATGCTTATTTGTTAAAGTAGACTAACAAAAAAAAGTCCATCTTCCCTTGAGAACAAGACTCTATTGACCAAGAATCCTGACACATGCCAGGAATTTGAGCCGTTTGTGAAAGGCAGACTCACAGTGAGTCAGCATCTGGGTCTCAGAAAACTATGTGATTACATTTTATTTTAAAAAGAGCCAATTCTGTTAATCTTGCCTCAATAATATCTAGTTTCAGTTGAGGCAGTACCTAATTCTTTGATACTTTCAATTCATAATTATGTGGTTGAATGTAAGGAATCCTCCTGAGTTGAGTAGAGATTATTCAGATCACCTGTTGCCTCATTATTAAGGAATTGAGAGCAGTTTGGTGCATTTCCCCTCTCGGCCAATCAGAGTGTGGCAACGCCCTTCCTAGGTTTAAGAGATGTAGAGGAAAGTGCCAACAGGGCATTTTGATAGTTCCTTAACATACTGCCGAAAAAAATCCAGACCACTCCAGATTAATTTTGAATCTCAAACTTGTATGGCAGCCATTCCATTCCAATGTCTGTTGATTTCCAAAACAGATAAATGTTGTCAGTAGTTAATAGAATACAACAAAAATGTTAATTTTACTCAAACACATATATAAATAGTAAAACCAGAGAAACTGGTCATTTTGCAGTGGTCTCTGTAGCTGTAGATACAAATGTTGTTTAGCAAGTATTAACAACTCTAATCT